GAACTGCGTCAAGATTGTAGAAAAACGCTCAGACCCGTCGATTTTAGATTAAAAGGGGACATTCTTTGCTGGTATTTTTGACTCCGCCACTTTCACCCCCAAGCAAGGGTAAGCATCACCCCAAAATATTTAAATGGCATTGGGGGTTGAGTAATATTTCTTTTGGAAGCTCTTACAATTCTCTTTACAATTTACAACAGACTTTAAATTTTATAATTCCGCCCAATACTTTGAAAAAAAATTACATTTTAAAATTTAAATTATGTTTAGTTATTTACTTACTACTTAGTTGATTAAATGTTCAAACTGATGACCGTCCGCCCGATGATGAATTATTCTTTTTCGTTTTCATTTGGCCATCATGTATTATTACATACCTATTTGGAAAGCTTATGAAATGAGCTTTAAGTTAAAAAAAATCGTCAAGATTCGTTAAAAAACAACACAGTTATAGACTGTCAAATATACTATTTTCAAGCGAATTTCGCTTTTTTAACGGCAGGACTATGAATATTATGGTCATTTTCTTCGGCCTCGCTGTCGTTAGCTTCCCCCACCCCTCATACGTGCCGCGGCTCGCCGAAAATCAAGCGACCCACTGACTTTTGACAATATTTCTTATGCGCTTAACATACTTCCACAAATAAAATATTTTTATCTGGGAAAGTACTCGGGTTGCCGGTNCCAAATAATACTAGAAAATAATTTGGAATCCACTAATTTTACGTTCAGTGTGTGTGTATAGCATTCATTTCTGTTTTTTACAATTGTGTTTTTTTTTTACGAAAGTCAAAACAAATAACAAAAACCAATGTAACGCAAGAAATACTAAATTTATACCATTGGCGTCCTTAACTCGAATGACTGACATTTTTACCTTTAATTGTTTGTACATAAGTTTCAACTTTAAAATCAAAACTCAACCCCCAATTCCATTTAAATATTTTGGGGTGATGCTTACCCTTGCTTTGGGGGTGAAAGTGGCGGAGTCAAAAATACCAGCAATGAATGTCCCCCTTTAATCTAAAATCGACGGATCTGAGCGTTTTTCTACGATCTTGACGCAGTTCCTGAAAATGGCTCTGTTTCGTTTTCATTTGGCCACCCTGTATTATTACATATTCGGAAAGCTTATGAAAAGAGCTTTAAGTTAAAAAAAATCGTCAAGATTCCTTGAAAAATAACGGAGTTACAGACTGTCAAATATATTATTTTCAAGCGAATTTCGGTTTTTTAACGGCAGGACTATGAATATTATGGTCATTTTCTTCGGACTCGCTGTCGTTCGCTTCCCCCACCCCTCCTACGCGCCACGGCTCGCCGAAAATCAAGCGACGCACTGACTTTTGACAATAATTCTTATGCACTTAACACACTTCCACAAATAAAATATTTTTATCTGGGAAAGTACTCGGGTTACCGGTTATGACAGTATTTTTTTTTGCCGCTACCAACCTAATTTGTTTAACAATAGGCCGTCAGATTTGACAGTCTGTAACTCCGTTGTTTTTCAACGAATCTTGACGATTTGTTTTTTTAACTTAAAGCTCCTTCCATAAGCTTGTATCAAGTACCAGGACACCCTTCAATTGCAGGGCAATTCTAATAAAGTGATAATACCTACATTTATGGATACAGTCGTTTTTATTTATTTATTGAAGTCATACATTTTTATATAGTTCTTAAATCCTGTATTAATACCACAAGTGCCTTTCGTCTGTTCTTCTTCAACGCCGAGACCAAAGAGACAGTGGCGAGCAAGATGGCGGCCTTCACCGCCTTCATCGACCGGGAGGTGGAGCGCAAGAAAATGTTTGTCGCGTGGCAAGACGACTGGAACAAACGGCACGACGGCTGCCTGCAGCGTAAGGAGGACGACCTCGAGGAGGTCTGAGCATGCCTCGCCAAAAATCAGTTTTTATTAACATCATAATGTTAATTTTTTGCTGCAAGCCTTCGGGCTTACTATTATGACTATTATGGCTGCAAAGAAGTTAGCTCNATTTTTTTTGCCGCTACCAACCTAATTTGTTTAACAATAGGCCGTCAACTCTGACAGTCTGTAATTCCGTTGTTTTTCAACGAATCATGATGATTTTTTTTTAACTTAAAGCTCCTTTCATAAGCTTGTATCAAGTACCAGGACACCCCATAGAGTTTAAATTGCAGAGCAATTCTAATAAAGTGATAATACCTAGATTTATGGATACAGTCGTTTTTATTTATTTGACGAAGTCATACTTTTTTAATCATTCTTAAATCCTCTCTTAACAATATGTCGCAGGTGCCTTTCGTCTGTTCTTCTTTAACGCCGAGACCAAGGAAACAGTGGCGAGCAAGATGGCGGCCTTCACCGCCTTCATCGACCGGGAGGTGGAGAGCAAGAAAATGTTTGTCGCGTGGCAAGACGACTGGAACAAACGGCACGACGGCTGCCTGCAGCGTAAGGAGGACGACCTCGAGGAGGTCTGAGCANTTTTTATCTTGTTTTGAAGTTTTCCGCAAGGAAGAATTATTCAAATACTTTAACAGACGATATAATAGGAAAAGAAAAACAAATTTTCCAAGACCACACATCAATTTCTGACACTTGCCGTTACATGAACGGCAGCACCAACCAAAACACTGTGACACCACCATCCCCACTGTCCCTTATAAAGTCACTGTACGATTTTACGCGAGAGTCGCCATCTAGTGTTCACGTTTCTGTAACTTTAACCAGCGGTGTAACTATAATATTATTTAAAAACAAGGATAATAGAAGAAATAACAATCTTACTATCTGTCCATCCTTACAACCACCGATGAGGATATTCTCGTCGAAGGGGCAGAACGACAATTTGTGCACCTCTCGGGGAGATTCCAATATCAGCTTCGGTTTCAAAGCATCCGATGTACTCCACAACAGAACAGGGTTTACTCCGTGCACGGCTCTCAAAACCTATAAAAATTGATTAGCACGATATTGTCAATGCGATGACTGTGGTTTTAACAGGCGAGCAAAAGGATAGATTAATCCTAAGTAATGATCTCGNGAGCGCAAGAAAATGTTTGTCGCGTGGCAAGACGACTGGAACAAACGGCACGACGGCTGCCTGCAGCGTAAGGAGGACGACCTCGAGGAGGTCTGAGCATGCCTCGCCAAAAATCAGTTTTTATTAACATCATAATGTTAATTTTTTGCTGCAAGCCTTCGGGCTTACTATTATGACTATTATGGCTGCAAAGAAGTTAGCCCTGTTTCACTTTAAATAAAATTTAATATTGAAGTTACAAAACTCCAAGAGTTAAAGTAATTTAAAGTTCATTTAACAACCATTTCAATTTCATTACAAAAATAATGACATATAAAACCAACGCTCACTAGATAAATTATAAAGAGAGGGTGAAATGTATGTAGTATTTAAATATTGACTGTAAGTAATAGAAGAAAGACTTGTATATACCATAAAGAAAACAATCGGACGGAGACAAATAAACAACTCGGTACGTGTTTCCGACCTAGGTTAACCTGTATGTAGGTCAATGACCCACTTTTTAATTTGCAGGTGTACAAATAGTCCAGGGCCCAGATAGGGTGCCGTGGCCAACAGAGTGCCACGGCTGCAAACAACTTATTCGTAGTATTTTGAGCTCCTGAATCCAAAAAACTTGGTCGCAAAGCCTGAAAGTGGTGAGTTTAATTGTTATAAACAAATTAAATGTTTAAATGGCTGTAAAAAGTTTTTATTTTTATAGCTAGTAAACGGAATCCTATCTGGTTCCTACACTAGTACGAATTGCAAAGTAGAGCAAAAAGAAAGTTTACATAAATGTAAACTTTAGTGTAAATATAAACTTTGGTGTAACCTAGGTAGGTACTTGTTTTTGAGAAAGTAATAATATGTTTTTTACCTGTTTAAAATGTCAGCGCGAGTAAAACAGCGTTCATCCGTCCAGCGCACTTTGTTTTAAAAATAAAAATAAAGTTAGTGTCTGCTGCACTTCGATTTAACTGCAACTGCAAAATCAAGACGATTGGGGAAATCAGCTGGTTTTAAAGCTTGAACTTTTTGAAAATGGTACGGGTTGAGTGAATTCTCGTGCAATATCCGCCAAACTTTGGTTTGTGATATCTCCAGTCGCCTTGAAATTGTTCTTGTGGAAATAGTAGGCTACTCCTCGACTAAATCTAAAACAGCCTCTATCACATTTAAGTCATTTTGTCGATGTCCTGCACATTCGCTGCGCGGTATGGTATGATAGATGCAATTGGAAAAATGCGGGAGATATGGAAGGTGGTAGATTTGAATAAACGCTTTAAATTGTTCATGGTTTTGTAACCGTGTGTAGTGTATTTTGTATATTTGGGTATTTAGTAGTGTGCCGACTTTTTTTATTGATAAAATGCGGTGTGCCTACAAATAGGTAACTACCTCTGCTTTATTTATTTTCTTTTAACGAAAGTTGACTTCGAGAAGTCAGGCTTGTTAAAACATTCTGCACTAAGTTAATACAATTGTTAAAATTATTTATAATAAAATGCAGCATGCTCCTTTATTTACTTGAATACGTTTAACAGTAAATGTGAACCACACATTATGATGTGAACTTGGCAACGCTGTTCGCTTCAGCCG